GAGTTTCCATTCCCCAGAACATTGTGTTAATGGTCAAGCCCTCAGCCGTGGGGCCGCAGCTATGAAGCTGTGATACTCTCTGGTGACCCGTTCCGCCGCAAAAACTCCCCGCGAAGGGAAGATTTGCCCATGGAGGGTTGACACAGAAAGGGCAGATTATTTACTGAGGACCCTGAACGCACCGCCGCGCGCTCTTGTGTGAGTGCGGGCTCCGCCATAATGCAGCCTTTACCACCACGGGTAAACTGCATTGGAGTCTTGCTCTAGGCATAGTGTGTTCTCTGACAGCAATACGCCAGCCATAATGTCCCTGTACCCGCATAGCGCTCTCCTTTAGATAGCACTCCCTGCGGTTCATCCCTCTCATCTGCGCATGCCCACTAGCCACCTCCTTTACAGGAGCTACAGCTGGGGCAGCGAATGGGGAATTTGTACGGTTAACATTGTGTGTAGGCCTAAGTGTAGCCTTTGTGGAAACAAAAGACACTTAGATTTGGATACAGATCAACCTCAAACGTAGTGATCTGTGCATTATACAGGGAGGAGGCGGGATTCGCTCCCTCGTCCCGGGCGGAGAGATTTTCTCCCCCCGCCAGTCAGATCCGTAAAGACGGAAAGCCCGTCCCCGTGAGTGCCGGCACGCCGGTTCCACGTGGTGGGCCGAAGAGGTGGAGGGCGCCGCGGGAACGGGATCTCCGTGCCGGCACCTCTCCCTTCGTCTCACCTCTCTAATGAGGTATTTGAACGCACCGTGGCTCGCCCTCGGGGGAGGGGGGCCGCGCGCGCCGTCACAATGCCGTCTCTTTGAAACGGACATTATGTGGAAAAGTGGAATTGTGGAGAGAAATAACGCTTACTCTGGGATAAATGCAATAGTCTTTACTGAATGCATTTTTCCCACACACACACCTCACTCCAGAACTAGAGTTTACAAACGTAAACCTCTCACGAGGGCCGCGCGCCCACGTATTAACGCTGTATTTCCCATTGCAACGGTGAAATGCATGAATCGGAGCTATTATACCAGGCAAGGTGTGTTTTCTGACAACAGCACGCCGGCAATAGCGTCTCTTGAACCCGCACAGTGCTTTGACAGCACTCAGTTTATTCCACTCACGTGCACACGCCCACCTGCTGGCTCCCTATACTGGGGTTTACAGCAGTAAAGGTACTATATAAATAAAGGGTATTATTATTATTATATTTATTATTACTATCACAACATCATATATTTTTTTATTTTAATTGTATATTTTTTAAATCAGGCAGTCTCATGAACAGTAAGACTTCTATTACACCATAAATATAGAAATAATAAGAATAATTAAAACTGCGGTTACAGTCGTGCACAGTTGTGGACGGGCCCTCGCGTCTTTGCGCCTGTCGGGGAGGGTCGATGGTCGTCTTGGTCGTCTCGTCCATGCACACCAGTCCTCCGAAATGAGCCGTTTGTCATTTCTCAAATGTTTGCGTGCTCGACTCCTCGGTCCTCGGGCAGCGACCCGGAAACGGATTTGGGCGCGCCGTCTCGAAGGAAAACTAATTTCTCTAAAGGCTCATCGAGGATCGATTATCGAGGAGGCTGTCTGGAGGAGCCGTAACCGAGGATACACTGATTTACAGGAGAGAGGTGAGAGGAGAGAGGAGTCTCTCTGGTGGAGCTATAACTGAGGTTACACTGATGTAGAAGAGAGAGGAGAGCGAAGAGAGAAGTCTCTCTGGAGGAGCTATAACCAAGGGTACACTGATGTATCCTCCGGAGTCGATTTCAGGCAACAGTGATGTTTAAAAGAGGCATGACGCATGGCTGGACTTATGTCAATATGTCAATGTGACTTATGTCACAGCTCTGCAAACTGTTCCTGTTGTGATTATAAGTTATTTAAGATGATCAAATGTGCATCAGACTTTCTGCCCTTTACCGTTTGTTTACTCACTAATCACATCTCCCCTGGATTTTTTTAATACAACTGCTTTCATTGTGACGCAATGTTTACAGTGAGAACAGCTGCTGGGGTCAGTGCAGAAAGCAGAACAGTGTGTATAATATATAACACTCATTAATATATGTAACAGGCCTACATTAAGCACTTAAAATACACTAACGTGCATGCAGTTACCAAGGCATTGCAGGTGAAAAGGATAAAACAAAAAAACACATCACTTCACAACTTCCCCAGATAGTTACTTACGTCAAGTCAGTATTTTCCCCTGAAATGTTATGTTTAAATATGCAGATTAGCTTTAAATCTATAGATGAATTCAGACATGGTAAAATGAACACCATTTATATGTGTTTCTTGGATGTTTTATTTCCATTAGAGTGAAAGAAAACGTGGAAGCAAAATAGACCAAAATAACAAGTACATGAAAAAAGGATATTTTTGCCTGTAATGTCCCCAGGAGGAGTTCGCAAAAATGTGCTTAAAATGCATGAAAAACGACAAAATAGCCGAATGTGCCAAGATTCGTGAAGTTCGGAGGAACTATATGTGACTACCAAACAATAGGGGGCGCTACTGAGCTGTTTTAACAAAAAATTACGATATTTATTTTGTACATTCTTGAACCACTGACTGAAGTAGTGGTTCTGTCTTTTACATGTAGGATTCAACCCCCCTTGTATTGATTTGTTTTAAAAATGAACAGACACTTGAGTCATTAATTTGTAGTGATAGAATAATTGTGGGATTTCTATTGCATCCACCTCATCTGCAACGAAGGACGCCAACGCAATTTCCGCCATTGCAAACCGAGTCAAGCCGACTCCGAGCTGTCCGACTTCAGGCGAGCTTTTTGAGACCTCCCCCGGCTGCAATCGGCTATTCTCGTCTACTTTCGAGGCGAGACGCAGCTCATCTCAAACAAGCGTATTGTCTAAAAAAAGAAACAATTATTTCATCCATCTGTTCTTGAGTTATACATTTGTGGTGGTTTTGGCGCCCCCTATAGTCCAAAATGAAAATGCTTTGGTGTCCCCAAGACAGACTGAACCTATATGTGATATTTGGATACATTGTTGATGAGTTATGAGCATTTCTTTCTAAGCCCCGCCTTTTTGCAAATACGTTTTGATTAATGGCGGCCATATTTATCGACTGAACATGCTCATTTCCTAGGGTAATGTGTGTGACCCTCCACCGATGCTGTACACTAAGTTTGGTGTCGAAAAACCAAAAATTGAAATTTAAGTGAATATTTCACTGTTTTGAACATTATGTTAATTTTAAAAAGGCGGAGCTTAGGGGTCCAAAAGGATAATTTGTAGAGCAGGTCGAGACGGATAAGTGTGCAAAATGTCTGGTTATTCGGACTTACGGTGAGACTATGTACCTTTTTCCGAAATGGGATTTTCATAGGTGGCACTAGCGAGCAGGTTGGACAATTTGAACCCATCGACTCCAGAATGTCAACATTTTTCCCGGTCCTGGCATCCGTGCAAAATTATTCAACTTTTGAAGCGTCCTAAGGCCCTCAAAAATGGGTTCTAAGGACGGGAAGAATAGTGAAGAATAATTCCTACAATAACAATAGGTTCCTAGCACTCTCGTGCTCGGGCCCTAAATATATATATAATATGTTGTCCTCATTGCTATGATAAGAGACTGGGTTACAGGAATTGTAACTTAAAGGGGACATATCATGCTATATTTGAACAATATATTGTAGGGCCATACCTATTTAAAGTATATAAATATATGTTTTTTTTTCAAAATACCAAACAGACCCTGCATTTTAGCCATGCCTCATTTCGCTCTATTGGCTCTTTCCAGCCCTGTTTTTGCAGGGGGCTGATTCTGTGAGCTGCAGCTGACCACGCCCCCCTGCAGGAGAGAGGAGCGTGCTCTGAGATCAGCTGCTAGGCTGCAGCAGGGAGAAAAAGAGATCTCCGCCCTCTGTGTTTTATTCTTATAGAAGTAAGAAGTTGGCATAAGGGGAACTGCTTTAGGCTGGTTACTAACAGCTGGTTATCCTAACTCGGGCCCCTCCTTTGCAGGGGGACGTGGTCAGCTGCAGCGCATGCAAAGACAGGGTAGAGGAGAGCAAAATAGAGCGAAATGAGTCATGGCTAAAATGCATGACCTGTTTGGTATTTTGAAAAATAAAACGTATAAATATACCTTATATAGGTATGGCCCTACAATATATTATTCAAATATAGCATGATAGATCCACTTTAAATAATCATACTCACAGTCTACAGTGCAAGTTGCTATATTTTCATAGATTTCTAGTGATGAGACTACAGTAAATAACGCTGCGTCTGACTTTTTTACGACCCTATCTGGTTTATTTGAAATCAAGTGAACTACTTTAAGGATTAGTTTTCAATTCTGGCAATGTTAATAAATTTAGTTGCTGTCATATTCAGGAAATACCCAAGATGTCATGTCTGGGAAAATGTATAGTTGTACGGCTTGTTAGACCAAAACCATCATAAAATTAGACCCAAAAGGCTGAACGCCGCAGTGACAAGCTGAACTGCGACTGAGGACTGATGCCATCCCAGAAACCCAGACTGTGTTTGAAAAAGGTGTCATTTTCAGCAGTGGTAGGAAAACAAGTTTGGTAGCACTGGAGGATTGGATTTCATACTTTTACATCAGACATTCATTTGGAAAGCTCTTTCTAATGACAAGACTTTTCTCCGTGTAAAAAACCTAAAGTGACAGCACTCAAAATCCTTAACTTGGATCCTTAACTCCCCCAGAATAAGTTTGACAACTTGAGTTTCTTTCTTTTACATCAGACATAGTGCTGCCCTGAAAATAACACTGTGTCTGTCGATGGAAAACATCAAAAGCCACCACTCCGACGGGGTCGTCATGTAGCAAACTTCATGTAAAGTACAATATAATATTATCTTTACATACGTATTATTTTTTAGTAGAAGGTTGCAATAGATATGAGTCATGACTATATATGGGAGTAAGTACAATTTGTGACGGTACTTTTGTTTTACTAACCCTTTGGATGTTCCCTGATATTCCCTCACTCACCTTCTTTGCCGCATTGATACACTGCATGTATTGCTTGGCCAGGTCGGAACACCTTAGGGTCTGGTCTCCGTTATCCCTGTAGCATGATAGAATCTGAGCCTGCAGGCCAGAACATACCGGGTTCATATTGCGAGACCTGCCGAAAACACAGGGGTAAACAAAGATGGAATCATGAGTGACGTTAGCATAATTTTAATTACAGATTTTAAAGCACAAGAACCCCAAAGAGCATAATGACAAACAAAAATCCAAGAAGATAGCGCTTGAAAGGATTACTAGATACACTTATTTCCTAAGTAGTTCTCGATGGAAAAAACATAAATAAAAACAAACAGGTCTCCCTTGAAAAAGAGATCGATGATATCAATGGTTAAATAAAGGTTTAATAATAAATACAAATAAAAAACAAAGTACAACATACATTTCGAAAGACATCCTTTTTGCCCCTTTTTTAAACTCCCTTACTTAAAAATGAGCAACAACGCTCTTGTAAAAGCGTTGTTGCTCCTAACCTTAACCCTTTTTTTTGCTTTGTCAAATGCACTGATTTTTAAATGTACTGTACATTATTTTGGCTTGGATATTTTTGGGTGTTTATTAGCTGTATTAAATACTTTAAATACCCAACAACTTGATATGTAACAGCAGAAAATACACAGTTAGAGATTATCTGGGGAACATTTTGAAGCCAAACAACTGGATATATTTCTTAGGAGTTGGTATGAAATAAGACTGATTTGCTACTTTTTTAGTAGCAACCTGAATATGTAAGCTGATGCAAAGTGCCTTAAACCTCCATTATTTCTAATAACCAGCAGGGGCCAAACGTCCATAGGTAAAAAAGAGGTACGATTATATAGAAGTTGACATTCTTACAGTATATACAGTCTAAAGGAGATTACCCGGACATTCATTATTATTTCAAAGTTTGAGACCGAGAACTTTTCTCTTCTTTGCATGTGAGAAAAACAACACATTTACTCCCACAGCAATGATAACAATGTATGACTTCAAAAGACTGACTGGTACAGTTCGCTTTGTCCAACTTGATGCAAAATAGAAAACTATTAAAAAAGAAGAAAACAAACATGCAAAAGAAAGAAGTCTGATTAAAAGAGGCAAGACAAAGGAGAAAAACAATTAACAACCTCAACCACTGACACCGGTTTAACAACCTATGGCGTGTGTGGTGCATGCTTCTTTGCAAATCATGCAATTAGGGCAAAATCACATTTAATTGAGTGGGTAACATTGTTCTGATCAAATACAGCAGAAAAGTGAGCCTTGAGAGACAGAATCAGCCGTGCTTAATTTAATGTCGGCTGTATTATAATTGGTCTTTGCCTGTCTATCTGTGTGATTGTTAACTATGACAGGCCTGCTGCTTGGGTGCCCTGCTGTAATGGATTCTTACTGATTGAAGCAGAGACAAGCGGGTTCAATACACCCACGAAAGGCACATGCACAGATGTACACACCTACACACAATTTGTAGTACACCGTTAACATGAAAGCACCACAAACTTGTGCACACCTCCAGACATGCCGACTTGTCGATCTTCTCTATGCAGTCCCCCCTGCGTTTCTCAGTAAGGAGCATTTAACACCAGTTTAATTGAAAGCCAAATTAAAGGGTCTTTATGGCTTTGATTCACAAAGAAGCGCTGACCCCCGTTTCAATTACAGCATATCCATATCCACAAAGGCACACACGTGCACTATATCATCTGCGACAGTATCATGAATGCAAAGACTGAGTTTATCTGAGCATGGGTGATAGAGGTTAAAGTGAAAAAGGAACAGAACAAACATATAAAGGAAGGAAGTAAGATAAAACGATGAAAGGGAATGAATAAAGCTTTCTTTGGTATTTAGGCCCATTTCCAAAAGATGACAGCCTATCCGATTACTCCCCCCCCCCCCATACCACCTCCAATGGCTTATCTTCCATGTTTGATCTGTCTTTTCCCACTTTTTGTCTCTGTATTCCCTCCAACTCCTTTCTTACTTCTCCCTCGCTCATCCCCCCCCCTTTTTGTCACATTAACAACGTAGAGAGGACAACACCAAAGCGCGCCATCTTTATCTCTCTCGCCGTTTGAGGCCACTGAAGATAAGGAACTTTCCTTTAATTTGAAATAAATGACCTTCATCAGGGAAAGCCAAAGTCTCCTGATAGCGCTGCATTGGTTTATTAAAGGCGCTTGGAGCAGAAAATTGGCTCAGTCGCAGCGAAAGCTAAAGCCCTGTCCACATGCCACACCAAATTGAAGGTGAGGTCTTAAATCAACAATATTAACTGAGCCGCTTACAAAAATAAATAAATAAAAGGAAGTGAGAGAGCTTTGGTTTTTTCGCCGGAACGAGCAGCATCCCTGACAAGCCATGTATTTTCTCTTGAAGTGAATGTGTGTATGTGCTGCGAACGCACTTTATTGTGAGAGGGAGCAGTCATTTTTTGGGAGAGTTCTCCACGCATCTGTGAGCGGTAAATATGACAAACAGTAAGATTAGTGTCTTAATTAATGGTACTGCCCATTATTTTTATCTCCGGCAGCGAAGGCGGAGGCGGTTGGAACACAGAGGCCTCAGACTTCAGGACCACGCAAACCAGCTTACCGAAACAAAGAGAAATTAAAGGGGGAGAAATTTGAAAATGGAAAAGACACAAAACACACCACCAACTACAAAAGCCTCTGGCAAAGCTACGAGACTGATAAGAAAGATGCTTTTTATGGCCTCTTATCTCTTAGAGTTAGCGATGTTTTTTGTGTGTTTTCCTTACTGGCTTTGGCTATGAGGCATTGTTTGTCCTGCATGCCATTTTATTTTTATCCTGTCAACTACAAAGTATTGCTATCTGTACTGTGTTTCAGGCAGCTAATTAGAAAATGGTGTTAACATCTCAAAGGAAGTAGCGCCCAAGGAAAATTAAGAGAATCCAACATTGTTAGTGACTAGAGGGCTACAATACCGACAACGTTTATTATGTGTATGTTCTAGACTTTTTGTTATTTTGCTTGCCAATACCACATAGTATTCTCCAAACAAACAGCAAAAGCGTATATACCCCTAACCCTAAATTATAACCCTAAAACTCTCAGATTGAGATGTTAGAGGACCACTTTAGGACAGGATATTTATTTGGGAAATGGGTCGATTAACTGAAGTCATATTTAGGTCAGACCTACCATTGTAGGAGAAATGTAATTGAATCAAATGTTTCTGCTAAGAAGAATCCATGGTGGTTCTGTTGAGCGTAGTTGGTTTCATTATTAAAGGTTATTGAATCCTTCAGTAGTGAGGTTGGAGTTCAAGTTTGCTATCCCAACATCACAACATACAGCCCAAAGACATTTTCTTTATTTTTATTACCACGGTAATACAAATCTGCTATTTTCGAACAATAAAAAAAGAGGGTGGTTGGTAGGAGCCATCAGTTTGTCTTTAGTCTTTAGTTTTTCACAAAAAGCCTTGCAAGAACTGTCTTAATATCATATACTACACATTTCTAGGGTCAGGCATCTACATTGACAATCATTAAACCATGGCATTTCGTCTGGTGGTTCTCGTATCCCTGAACAACTTGAGCCTCAACTGTCAGGATTAAAATAATGTTTGATTTAACACTCGGCTACATTCACACACTAGAACTATTGTGAAGTCCTCGTCCGACCTCTATTGTCAAGGACATTGCAGTTGTTGTAGCGACTGCAGTCTTTTCTGCAATAGTCCGCAACCTGGGTGGACAGGGATTTTACAGACAAGGCATATTGGTTACATCTGCCAAGCCACAGATGAACATACAACTCTATTTAATGAACCAAGATCAACAGAGAAAGAAAATTGCCAACATTTTGGGAAATACGCTTTGCCGAAGAGAAAAAGTACATGGTACCTGATTCTAAGATGAGAAGATGGATACCACTCTCATGTCTGAAAATTGTTTAAAAATATCACGGTAGTTAAATTAGTTTGCATGTTCATGACTAGACCAGAAAGGATGGATCAGGGATCATCATCTCAAAACTCCTGTAGTTTAAACCCAACATTAGTTTGACATAAATACAATTTAGCCTGGTTCTTCTCATTGCTAAAAGTGTATCAACACAAATATGTAATACAATGTTTTAAAGCTTTCCCAAAGGCTTGAGAATGAGCTACTTCATTATTTCTATATGATTACTTACTTTTATAATGCTGCTACCGATATTTTCTACCTTGAATGTTATTAGATTTTTATTTTGTAATGTGTGCTTCCCTCTTTTTTATTGATAGTCTACTCTTTTAGAAAAGAGAACAGTAAACCTGAAGTAAACAGGTCCACCCTTATCTATTGAGGCAGGAAATGGCATTTGACATGTTCAGAGAGCTAGAATTCCTGGACACGCTGTTTTACCATTAACCAATTGATTAAAATACTCGTGTTGTGGTGAAGTGAAGTGAAAACCGAGATGATAAAAAGGACGAAAGAGGGCAGGAGAGGTGAAGAGGAAAACAGCTAGAGAGACAGAGATGCCTCTTATCTCTTGCTTGTAGCTTGTATGCACCTGCACCCTGACAGCTTTTCAATTGGCTAAGGGCACACATCCTCTTCTCCTCATCTTCTATCTCCAAACCTCTTCAGTTCTCCATCTACAGTATCCATTTATATCCCAACCAGGAAGACAGGGTCCTCTATAGCAGTGGTTCCCAAACTTTTTGTGCCCAAGGCACACCAAAGGACAAGTAAAAATCTCAAGGCACACCTATTGTGCAAAATAGCCGTTATAACACGTGTTATCACTCATATCATGTAAAATATCTGTAAATGTGCATAATTATTTACTAATGCCAAATAAAATGTGACAAAGACAACTATATTACTCATGACATATTTATTAACGAAATATTTCAGAAATTATTTTGAAACTTTATCAAATTAGGCTTCATCAAAGCAGCAACACACTCAGTTAAACTAGACAGGTCACAACATTAAAAATGAGGCAAAGCAAACTCAGCAGAAATTCAGCACAGAGAACTGTCAATGCAAGGAAGCTGCATTGTCCATGGTCCTGAACTACAAATTATAAATGTAACATTTCAGCAATCAGCATTGAAACATGTGCTATTGTAAATATTTGTGCCGACTTACAA